ATTACAAGGCCGGGCATGGTGGCTCATGCCTATAATCCCAGCACTTTAGGAGGCCGGGGTGGGCGGATCGCCCAAGGTCAGGAGTTCGAGACCAGCCTGGCCAACATGGTGAAACCCCGTCTTTACTAAAAATACAAAAACTAGCCAGGTGTGGTGGCACGCACTTGGGAGGCTGAGAAAGGAGAATCGCTTGAACCCAGGAGATTGAGGTTGCAGGGACCCCACGCCACTGCACTCCAGCCTGGGTGACAGAGCAAGACTCTGTCTCAAAAAAAAAAAAAATTACGGTGGGCAAAGGCATATAAGCTGGAGTCCGGGAGAGACCAGGACCAGCGTTCAGCTCATTCAGCGCTCAGTGAAGTTGCGTAGACAGTGCTTAATTCTCCAATGACCATGTGGACCAGGAAGCTCACCCAAGCCTTGGTGCTTAGGTTTTTTTCATTGAGGGATCTGTTATGTAGGCATGGAACCCATATAAATTACTTTGGCTACGCAGGCCCTCCAGAGATCCCCCTAATACACCATGGCCCAGTGCCCCTGGCAGGCAAAGACATTTTATCAGGCAGGATAGCCCAAGGGCTCAGAGGTTACCCCCCAGCAGCCAGTCAAGTATCAGACCTTTCTTTTTCTTTTTTTTTTTTTTTGTTTTTTTTTTTTGTTTTTGTTTTTTGAGACGGAGTCTCGCTCTGTCGCCCAGGCTGGAGTGCAGTGGCGCAATCTCGACTCACTGCAAGCTCCGCCTCCTGGGTTTACGCCATTCTCCTGCCTCAGCCTCCTGAGTAGCTGGGACTACAGGCGCCCGCCACCGCGCCCGGCTAATTTTTTGTATTTTTAGTAGAGACGGGGTTTCACCGTGGTCTCGATCTCCTGACCTTGTGATCCGCCCGCCTCGGCCTCCCAAAGTGCTGGGATTACAGGCGTGAGCCACCGCGCCCGGCCTCTTTTTCTTTTTTGAGACAGAGTCTCACTCTGTCGCCCAGGCTGGAGTGCAGTGACTGGATCTCTGCTCACTACAAGCTCCGCCTCCTGGGTTCATGCCATTCTCCTGCCTCAGCTTCCCGAGTCGCTGAGACTACAGGCACCCGCCACCATGCCCGGCTAATTATGTTTTTAGGAGAGATGGGGTTTCCTCATGTTAGCCAGGATGGTCTCGATCTCCTGACCTCGTGATCTGCCCACCTTGGCCTCCCAAAGTGCTGGGATTACAGGCATGAGCCACTGTGCACAGCACAGACCTTTCTTAAGAATGTGCAGGGTGTCGGCCAGGCGTGGTAGCTCACGCCTGTAATCCCAGCACTTTGGGAGGCCGAGCTGGGTGGATCACTTGAGGTCAGGAGTTTGAGACCAGCCTGGTCAACATCCTGAAACCCCACCTCTACTTAAAAAATACAAACATTAGCTGGGCATTGTGATGCGCGCCTGTAATCCCAGCTACTCAGGAAGCTGAGGCAGGAGAATCCCATGAACCTGGGAGGTGGAGGTTGAAGTGAGCTGAGAGATTGTGCCACCGCACTCCAGCCTGGGTGACAGAGTGAAACTCCTTCTCAAAAAAAAAAAAAAAGAAAAGAAAAGTGCAGGGTGTGGACGACCCAGGCTTGCTAAACCAGCCCTGCACACTCCCTGTAATGTGTGTGTGATGTGGCAGTGTGACCATTTCAGCATCAGGGAATGATGGGTTTAGCATTTACCTTTTTGGGGTAGGGGTCGTCTTTTTCTTTTTCTCCTTCTCTTTCTCCTTCTCCTCTTTCTCTTTTCCTTTCTTTTTGTTGTTTGAGACAGGGTCTCACTCTGTAACTGAGGCTGGAGTGTGGTGGCACGATCACTACTCACTGCAACCTCAACCTCCGGGGCTCAAGCAATCATCCTGCCTCAGCCTCACAAGAACCTGGGACCACACGCATGCACCACCATGCCCGGCCAATTAAAAAATATATATATGTATATATATTTGTAGAGATAGGGTCTCCCTGTGTTGCCCAGGCGATTCTCGAACTCCTGGGCTCAAACGATGCTCCCGCCTTGGCCTCCCAAAGTGTTGGGATTACAGGCGTGAGCCACTGTGCCTGGCCCACTTTGTTCTTTTGAGTAAGTTTAATGTTGGGAGTCAGATAAATGTGTACATACTCACACCAATTCTAAGTCTTGCAAGTTGAACCTTTTGTTATAGCTTATGTTATATTTTAAACCTTTTTTGGTAGGGTGTGAATGCCTCCTCCCCAAACTTGTCATCTAATAGCAATTCTAATCATTCACATTCCATTTCTTTTCTTTTCTTTTTGTTGTTTTGAGACAGAGTCTCGCTCTGTCACCCAGGCTGGAGTGCTGTGGCGTAATCTCAGCTCACTGCAAGCTCCACCTCCCGGGTTTATGCTATTCTCCTTCCTCAGCCTTCTGAGTACCTGGGACTACAGGCGCCCGCCACCATGCCGGCTAACTTTTTTGTATTTTTTAGTAGAGACGGGGTTTTGCCATGTTAGCTAGGATGGTCTTGATCTCCTGACTTCGTGATCCGCCTGCCTCGGCCTCTGAAAGTGCTGGGATTACAGGCGTGAGCCACCGCGCCCCGCCTACATTCCATTTCTTTTGTGTGTGTTGGTGCCTTGTCTGTCCTCCCCTGGCACTGAGGTCACATGCAGTTCTTTGCATTGCATTGTCTTTGTCTTCTGTTTCGGCACTGAATTTGCTGTTCACTTCTAGCTCTCTCTTTCCACTTGTTCTTGGAGGACTTGAGTGCTTGGTTTGCCTAAAGAATGTTATGTGTCTGTTCGGAAGAGAGATTAGGACTTGCCACGAAGTCATGCCTAGAGGGGAGAGTATCCCTGCAGAATTCAGCGTAGGAAAGGAGGCCTCAGGCACCAGGAGTGTGTGAGAGCAGGAGAGTTCTCTGAAGAGATTGCTTGGGAAATGAGAGCATCACTGGGGTGACGTCCCAGCAACTGCGAGTGTTGAGGCTCCTGTGAGGTGGCCCATGCTTCGGCTCTGTGTTCCTGGCCAGAGCAGGGACCAGCACCCCAACATCTGCAGGAGATGATGCTGGTGGAAGAAGTTTCCCAAGCTTTTGAAAGGAAAGGTGAAAACTGCCAAAAAAAATATGGCACAGAGAAAGCGAGATTTCCGCAATGCATGGCTGGATACTTGATATTCCAGGGAAATTTTTTTTCTGAGAATATGGAGCAAGAAAAATGCCAGCATTCAAACCGGAAGAATGATAAGTGTTCAGCATCTGCAATGGCTGCCTTTATCTGCTCTTCTAGCCCAAATGGGAGTTGTTTCGCCTTTTTTTTTTTGGAGACAGGGTCTTGCTCTGTTGCCCAGGCTGGAGTCCAGTGGTGTGATCTCAGCTCACTGCAACCTTGACCTCTAGGCCTCCTGCAATCCTCTCATCTCAGCCCCTACCCCCACCAGTAGCTGGGACCGCAGACCATGCCCAGCTAACGTTTTGTGTTTTTGTTTTGTTTTTTTTTTTTTGAGACAATGTCTCACTCTGTCGCCCAGGCTGGAGTGGAGTGGCGCAGTCTCGGCTCACTACAACTCAGCCTTCCGAGTAGATGGGATTACAGGCATAGGCCACCATGCCCAGCTAATTTTTGTATTTTTAGTAGAGATAGGGTTTCACCATCTTGGCCAGGCTGGCCTTGAACTCCTGACCTTGTATCTGCCCACCTCAGCCTCCCAAAGTGCTGGGATTACAGATGTGAACCACTGTGCCCGGCTGGCTAACGTGTTTTTTTTTTTTTTTTTTGAGACAAAGTCTGGCTCTATCGCCCAGGCTAGAGTGCAGTGGCGTGATCTTGGCTCACTGCAACCTCCGCCTCCTGGGTTCACACCATTCTCCTGCCTTAGCCTCCCAAGTAGCTGGGACTACAGGCACCCGCCACCATGCCTGGCTAATTTTTTGTATTTTTAGTAGAAACGGGGTTTCACCGTGTTCGCCAGGATGGTCTCCATCTCCTGACCTTGTAATCCGCCTGCCTCGGCCTCCCAAAGTGCTGGGATTACAGGCGTGAGCCACCGCGCCCGGCCTGGCTAATGTTTTTATAGAGAGGAGGTCTCATTTTGTTGCCTAGGCTGGTCTTAAGCTCTTGGACTCAAGCAGTCTGCCTGCTTCAGCCTTCCAAAGTGTTGGGATTCCTGGCATAAGCCACCACGCTGGCCTTTGGGGTCAGAGTTCAAGGTTCTTCATGAACTAGAAAGCATTGTACAAACGAAAGGCACCATCAGGTCGAGCGAGCGTAGTCATATGAGCAAAGGCAGAGATACCGGATGCGTTTCTGGAATGTTCAGTGGTCTCGAGTAACCTGTTGGAGCCTGCAGAGGGTGTGCGTCAGTGCCGATGTGGTGATGGGAGTCAGAGGTGTGGAAGGGTTTGGTGCCACTCAGGAGGCTTTTTGCCAAACTCTCAGTAGGACAGTGATGTGACTGCTGCAAGGGGGTTAGACAAGCAGAAGGTAGGAAGGGTTTGGTGACTGAGTTCAGGAGAGAGGGTGACAGGCGTGCCCTGGCAGTAGGCAGCATCCTGGCACTTCCAGCTGAGACCAAGGGAGGGCATCCCTGGACAACACCCCCTCCCAGAGCCGAGGGAAGTTCCCTGCGCCGCCCTGCTGGGGAGTGTCACATCCTCCTTGTCCCCACGCCCCCATCGTCATCATTTCTGAAAACAGCTTATGATACATTGTGATATGCTAAATGCGCAATTACTTAGACACCTGGCCTCCATCTCCCTTCCTTAGTCATGAAATGATAGGAAAAATGCCCCTCCTTGCCCTTGACTGTTGAGGGGGCTGCTGCGTGTCTGGGCTCACAGCTGAGACACCCAGCATGTGACTGGGCACGTCCCCTGAGCCTGAGGTAGCCCAGGTCTGTACCCAGGCGTGAGGCCCATTCCCGCACCTGGGAAGCCCCGCTTGTCGCTGGCCAGCCCGTCGTTCTCTAGGGTGGGTGTGGGCTCTGGAGGTGTGTGGGAGCCGAGGGGCTGAATCTCTGCTTGTTTTCCACTCCAGACTTGTCTCTTGAGGACCTCTGCCTTCCACACAGCAGCCTCTTCAGGTGCAGGGAGGAAATGGAAGCACGTTCTAAGCTGGTTCCGCCCCAGGTGAGTGGGGGTCTTTGCTCTCAGTGCCTTGGTCTCCACAGATGTAAAATGGGTCCAGGAATAGCACCCGCCCCTGCAGGCTGTCACACAGGAGTGCTCCAGTGCTGGCCAGTGCTCCAGTGAAACGCTCCAGTTCCCTGCAGTAAAGTGCGGCACCCGTCACCAGCATGGATGAGCCTAGAGCTCCCTGGACTAGACCCAGCACAAGTCTCCCATGCCTGTTCCACCAGGCCAGGTCTGTGCTTCCGACATTTTGCTTGTGGTTGCTCCTCAGGCCCTTGAGGATGGATGAGGCTGAGCCCTACACCCCGACAGCCACACTGGGCCCTCAACCCTCATGGACACCCCTGGCTGGGGGAGTGTCCCCTTAAAGCACTGTAGTTACCTACCTACAGGGTCCCCTGTAAATGGTGAGGGCCCTCTCTTCCTGGCTTGCAGACAGCCATTGTCCCACTATGTCCTTATGTAGTGAGGAGAGAGAAAGAGAGCACACATGTGCTCTGGTGTCTTTTCCTCTTCTTATTTTATTTTTTTTTTTTTGAGACGGAGTCTCGCTCTGCTGCCCAGGCTGGAGTGCAGTGGCCGGATCTCAGCTCACTGCAAGCTCCGCCTCCCAGGTTCACGCCATTCTCCTGCCTCAGCCTCCCGAGTAGTTGGGACTACAGGTGCCGCCACCTCGCCCGGCTAGTTTTCTGTATTTTTTAGTAGAGACGGGGTTTCACCGTGTTAGCCAGGATGGTCTCGATCTCCTGACCTCGTGATCCGCCCGTCTCGGCCTCCCAAAGTGCTGGGATTACAGGCTTGAGCCACCGCGCCCGGCCATCTTTTCCTCTTCTTATTTTATTTTTTGATGTAGTATCTCCTATTGCCCAGGCTGGAGGGCAGCAGCGCAATGTTGGCTCACAGCAGCCTTGAACTCCTGGGCTCAAGCGATCCTCCCACCTCAGCCTCTCCAATAGCTGGGACTACAGGCATGCATTAGCATGCTTGGCGAATTTATTATATATTTAGTGAGGACAGGGTTTTGCCATGTTGCTCAGGCTGGTCTCAAACTCCTGGACTCAAGAGATGCTTCAGCATCAGCCTCCCAAAGTGCTGGGATCACAGGCATGAGCCACCATGCCCAGCCTCTTCCTTTTCTTATAAGGACTCCAGTCCTATTGGATTAGGGTCCCACCCTTATGACCTCACTTAATCTTAATCACCTTCTTTTGGTTTTTGTTTGTTTGTTTGTTTGTTTTTTGAGACAGAGTCTTGTTCTGTTGCACAGGCTGCAGTGCAGTGGCGCAGTCTCGGCTCACTGCAACTCCACCTTCTGGGTTCAAGCAATTCTCCTGCCTCAGCCTCCCAAGTAGCTGGGATTACAGGTGCCCACCACCACACCCAGCTAATTTTTTGTAGAGATGGGGTTTCACCATGTTGGCCAGGCTGGTCTCGAACTCCTGACCTCGTGATCTGCCCGCCTCGGCCTCCCAAAGTGCTGGGATTATAGGAGTGAGCTACCGTGCCTGGCCAATCACCTTCTTAAACAGTCACTTTGGGGGTTAGGGTTCAACATGTGAATTTGGGGAACAGTTCATTCTATAGCATTAGCCTGTTGAAAACACACCACAGCCCTGATTTGTCCTACAGGCTGTAGTTTTCCCACCCCTGATTTAGAGCGTCTTTCTTACCTCATTTCGAATCTGTGATTTTGTAGAGAGGCAGTGGGTGAGGATCTCCTAGTGGAGTTCCTGTCATTTCCAGTCCAGAAATCAGGACCACTGCTGTGACTGGCAAGAGGTGAGATGCCCAGAAAAGGAACGGTACAGACCACATACATGGAGCTGTCCCGGTCCATTTGGGTTGCTATAATAAGATACCTTAGAATGAGTAATTTACAAACAACAGAATTTACTGCTCACAGTTCTGGAAGCTGGTAAGTCCAAGATCAGTGTGTCAACAGAGTTGGTCTGGTTGGGGCCTGCTGTCTCATAGATGGCACCTTTTATGTGTCCTCATATGGTAGGAGGTGAACACAGGCACCCCTCAAACCTCTTTTATGAGGACATTAATGGCCTTGTAAAGACCCCACCTCTTAACACTATCTCACTGGGTATTAGGTTCCAGTGTATGAATTTTAGTGGGGGACATCAACATTTAGGCCTTAGCAGGTACCTCCATGAGGGCATGAGGACCTGGGGTCTCTGAGCAGTAACAAATGCCCTGTTTCAGGCATCTGTGTGCTTCGAGGACGTGGCTATGGCATTCACACAGGAGGAGTGGGAACAGCTGGACCTGGCCCAGAGGACACTGTACCGAGAGGTGACACTGGAGACCTGGGAGCATATTGTCTCCCTGGGTAAGGGGCTGTGCCCATGGAAGGAGGTTCTACCCCCAGGACTCAAAGCTGTACCAAGTTCTGAAGTGTGTTCCAGAATGGGCTGGAAGATACTGGAAGCAGGTCCCTTTCAGGTGCAGGTCCCAGGGGTTGCCCCTCACTCTAGCTCTGGAACAGGACTTGTAGTCCCAGCAGTGGGGAGTTTCCTCGGGATGGCACTAGGGGCTGAAGTTTGGACCCAGGACATGGTTCTTGGTTTCCAAGCAGAGGAGCAAGTCCTTTTTCCCTCTTTGACCAGGGCTTTTCCTTTCCAAATCTGATGTGATCTCTCAGCTGGAGCAAGAAGAGGACCTGTGCAGGGCAGAGCAGGTGGTCCCCCGAGGTAAGAGCAGACCTTGTGGTGAGCAACTCACAGTTAACAAACTTGGACAGAGAGCAGGGCCCCAGGGGCCAAGGAGGGAGGCTTGTTTGGAGGGAGCTTCCTTGGGTGCTCTCTGCAGCAGTTCCCCCATTCAAAGGACTTCACCCATTCGAAGTGTGCAGTTCATGGCTTCCAGTGTCTTCCCTGAGTGTGGAACCCTCACCATAATCAGTTCCAGAACAGTTCATCATCCCAACCATTTAGGCCTCTTTACTTGATTTGTTTTGTTTTTAATTAATGTATTTTATTATTATTTTTTGAGATAGGGTTTCACTCTGTTGCCCAGGCTGAAGTGCAGTGGCGCTATCTTGGCTCACTATAGCCCCCACTTCCCTGGCTCAAGCAATTCTCATGTATCAGCCTCCCTAGTAGCTTGGACTACAGGTGCACACCGCCACACCTGGCTAATTTTTTTGTTTTTGTTTTTTAAGACAGAGTTTCGCTTTTGTTGCCCAGGCTGGAGTGCAGTGGCACAATCTTGGCTCACTACAACCTCCACCTCCCAGGTTCAAGTGATTCTCCTGCCTCAGCCTCCCAAGTAGCTGGGATTAGAGGCATGCACCACCACGCCTGGCTAATTTTGTTTTTTGTTGTTGTTGTTGTTATTTTTGCTTGTTTTTTTTTTAGACGGAGTCTCGCTCTGTCACCCAGGCTGGAGTGCAGTGGCGCAATCTTGGCTCACTGCAAGCTCCGCCTCCCGGGTTTATGGCATTTTCCTGCCTCAACCTCCCGAGTACCTGGGACTATAGGCGCCCGCCACCACGCCTGGCTAATTTTTTGTACTTTTAGTAGAGACAGGGTTTCACCATGTTAGCCAGGATGATCTCAATCTCCTGACCTCGTGATCTGCCCGCCTCGACCTCCCAAAGTGCTGGGATTACAGGTGTGAGCCACCGTGCCCGGCCGGGTTCTATAGAATATGAAAATTAGCTGGGTGTGGTAGTACGTGCCTATAGTCCCAGCTACTCGGGAGGCTGAGGCAGGAAAATCGCTTGAACCCGGGGGGCAGAAGTTGCATTGAGCTGAGATCACACCACTGTACTCTAGCCTGGTGACAGAGTGAGACTCTGTCTGAAAAAAAAGAAAAAAAAAAACATGCCGCACAAACGCCTGGATACATGCAATTCCATCTCTCTTTCCCATTCAACAGCAAACACCAGATTCCAAACAATGTTGGGGCCAAACAGTATTGCAAGAATATCAAGTGTTTCCTCCTTAGATTATCCAGGTCAAATTTATTCCAGTTGTTAAGGATGCAGCCAAGCAGGGAGTCAGATGGAATAGATGGAGTGCTTCCTATTACTGTCTGTAAGAGAGAAAATCCTAAGGAGGGTATAGTACTATTCCTCAGAACCTCAGCCTAGGGTGTCCCCTTTGGAGAGGTTGAGGTCTGGAGTTGGATCCCCCAGGGGATCTCTCTTTGGGGTCCAATCTTAGAGTGTCAGACATCTCTGTCTTTAGGTGGGCACCAGTGCTGCTTTATATGTTTTCCCTCCAGTGGCGATGGTCTACTGTGAGCTTTCCTTTGGTTTCTGGGTGTAATTCCAGACTTTTAGTATCCCACCAATTTCAATGTGATGTATCTTCCTGCATTCCTCACAGGACTAAGGAGGTTCCCAAACATTGCAGAGTTAATAGTACCAAGGTTGCTGGGGTATTCTCCATGAAGGAAAGATCCAGGGGTATGTAAAAGACTGGGATTGAGAATTTCTTGTTTTGTTTTTTTGAGATGGAGTTTTGCTCTTGTTGCCCAGGCTGGCTGGAGTGCAGTGGCATGATCTTGAGTCACTGCAACCTCAGCCTCCTGGGTTCAAGCAATTCTCCTGCCTCAGCCTCCTGAATAGCTGGGATTACAGGAGTGTGCCACCATGCCCAGCTAATTTTTTTTGTATTTTTAGTAGAGACGGGGTTTCACCATGTTGGCCAGGCTGGTCTCAACTCCTGACCTCAGGTGATCCACCCGCCTTGGCCTCCCAAATTGCAGGGATTACAGGGGTGAGCCACTGCACCTGGCCAGGGTTGAGAATTTCTATGGGGTTCAGGGCAAGCAAATTGATGCTGAAGCAATGACCATGAAGCTATGGGATCCCCTCAGTGGAAGTCTGAGATGTAGAATGTCTACTGAAGCTTGTGGACCCCAAAGGTCTTAAGGCAGTCAAATAAATCGAGTAAGAGAAGGTAAGTCAAATGCATGAGATACATTATCTTTTGCCCTTTCAGGCTAACTCTAAGGAGAATTTTACATAAGAAAAGAGGGTTTAAGTCACTGGAAACATGCGTGAGTTCACCCTGGACGAGCTGCCACTGCCACTTGCATCACAGATGGGGATCACTATAACCGGAAAAGATAGAAAAGAGTCCTTTCCCCTTCTGGGCATGGCAGCCATCCCCATATACGCCTTGGCCTTCAGGCAACACTGGAGGGTGACCCTGGCCAGCCTCCCTCAGTTACCAAGGAACTTCTAGGAAAAGGCAGCTGAAAGACTGAAAAAGAGAAAAAGGAAAAGGACTAAGGTCCTTCACCCGAACTGGGTGGTGGCGGTCAGGCTCTTCAACACGGAAATCTCCGTTTCACCAGAGAGTGGCGCTGGCCAGAAACTTACAGTTGCTTTCATGCTTAGGTGCTGTCCACCAAGGGTCCATAAGTTGGAAAGAGAAAAAGAGAGAGAAAAGGGTTCCCCTATATGGAAAAGGGAAAAGAAAAAGAGAAGAAAAAGAAACCCCAAACTTCGAGCTTCCCTCTGGCTGGCTCACCAAAATATGTTACCAGTGGAGGGTGTCTAGGTTCTTGGCATTTTGTTCTTTTACTTTTTTTTTTTTTTGAGACAGAGTCTCACTCTGTTGCCCAAGCTGAAGTTCAATGGCACGATCTCAGCTCACTGCAAGCTCTGCCTCCCAGGTTCACGCCATTCTCCTGCCTCAGCCTCCCAAGTAGCTGGGACTACAGGTGCCCGCCACCAAGCCCGGCTAATTTTTTGTATTTGTAGTAGAGACAGGGTTTCACCGTATTAGCCAGGATGGTCTCGATCTCCTGACCTCATGATCCGCCTGCCTCGGCCTCCCAAAGTGCTGGGATTACAGGCGTGAGCCACCGCACCCAGCTGGTTCTTGGCATTTTTAACAAAGAATTGGACAAAACACACAAAGCAACAAAAGAAGCAACAAAAGCATAGATGTATTGAAACAAAAATACACCTGCAGGCTCAAGCAAGGCTCAAAAGCAATAGCCACAGAATTTTCTGGGGTTTAAATGCTCTCTAGATACTTCCCATTGGTTACTTGGTTTATATCGTATGAAGTAGTGGCCCATGACCAGTCTGATTGGTTGTGGAAGGTGGCCAAGCAGAGGCTGAAGTAAAGTTACAAAGTTACGCTCTGTGCAGACATCTGATGGGTTGCTGGAGGGAACCAATCAGAGGTCCTTTCCATTTTTCATCTGCAACACAGAAAGTTGGGAGGAGTTGCAAAGGGAGTAGCCTCCGACCCTTTGTTACGTGGGCGTGGAAATTTAGGGTTTTACTTTTGATTCAATTCATGAAGTCAGCATGAATCAGCCTTAGGCTCCCTGCCCCCAGACCCTATTCTCCTGCCTCACTGGCAACCATGGATCTTTATCCTGTCACCATAGTTTTGCCTTTTCCAGAATGTCATAGTTGGGGTCATTCACTATATAACCTTTTCTGACTGACTGCTTTCACTAAGCAACGTGCATCTTGTATATCTTCACAGCACCCTCTCACGTTTCCCCCAGGCTGGAGATGTTGAGTTTATCTGAATTTGTCTCATGTCGTCCTGCTCCTCCTTCCTTGTAACTCTCTCGCCTGCAGCCTCTGTTATTTCTTCCTCTGAAGGCCCACACTTACTTATCTACCCTCCTCCCTGGGCCATGCCCTGCATACCATACCTCAATCATGTCATTCTGGATTCTGTTTACTGTCAGTCTTTCTGTATGGCATAGACATCCCTCTTGACTGGCCTGTGAAGACAGCCTCTTTCCTCATTTCATGCTCCTAATGGAGAAGCCACTGCAAGATATTTAATGTCCTTCACCTGATTTTCCATGGCCAGGCAAAACCCGGACACAACTCAGCCACCCAATGACTTCTTGCCTGCTTCTCATCCTCAAATACCCTTCATTGGGCTATCGTTTCTTTTCAAAACATCCTCCCATGAGGGATTCCACAGTGACTTCCCAGAGGAACCACAGAGCTGGGATGAGGACAATGCAAGAATGAGAGTGCTGGGTGTGAGGGCACCAGGTGTGAGGGTGCTGGGTGTGAGGGCACCAGGTGTGAGGGTGCTGGGTGCATGTAAGGGTCTTGCCCAGGAGGGAAGAGAGGTTTTGATTGAGAGGAGGGAAAAATCCTCTCAGAAGTCAAGGGATGGCCACAGAGTATAGTTAATGTGTTGCCAAAGGATCCTTGTGTCCTCATGTGCTCAGAGAGTGATGCATGGGAACTTGACGTAGGCCTTAGTAGTGTTGACTGTGGTGCCATGCAACCATAATGAACAGAGTGACAAGCAGAGGAGGGATCTTTAGGACCTGGACAAGGATCCTAAGCTGGGAGCCTCTGCCACTCATTTTTGGAGGCTCCGTATCTTCAACAGTGAGGAATCCCCACCACCACAATAACAAGGATGGCAAGATCAACCATGTTTTGTAATGTCGGTGCCAGACACTGTGTGAGGCTCACATAGTGATTCATTGATGCCTCAAAATAAATCTTGTAGGATAAACATTCTTTCTTCTGGCTACAGCAAGGAAAGTGAACCTCTAAGAGGCTAAGGACCTGTCTGAAGTGGCAAACAGTGAAGCCCAGGTGCAGCCAGTCATGCTGCCCATGCTGCGTCGGAGACCATGCAGTCTTTTCTGGAGAGTCTATTGGGTCAATTCTGGAATGCTTAAATAACTTTTTCTGTTTGCAGCGTGAAGAAATGGTAGAATTGGTGCATTAAGAATATGAAGTCAGTATTGATGTTTGAGATGCAATTATGAGATCCAGAAGTGGAGCAGAAACATATTCTAGGACTAAGCACCAGTTAGGAGTCTGTGTTTGTTTCCTGTGGCTGCTGTAAAAAATTACCACCAACCTGCTGGCTTAAAACAATGCAAATTTATTCTCTAAAAGTTACAGAGGCTACAAGTCCAAAATCAATGTCACTGGATCGAAATCAAGGTGTTGATACGGCTGTGCTCCCTCTGGATGCTCCAAATGGAAAACGCATTTCTGTCTTTTCCTTCTCCTGTTGGTTGCAGCATTCTTTTCCAGTCTTCAGATACCTTCTGCTGTGTCTTCTCATCACCTTCTCCTCTGTGTTTCAAATCTCCCTCTGCCTTTCTCTTATGGGAACACTTGTGATTACATTTAGAGCCCCTCTGGATAATCCAGAAAAAAATCCCCATTTAAAAATTTTTAGCACGGTGTGGTGGCAGGCACCTGTAATCCCAGCTACTCAGGAGGCTGAGGCAGGAGGATCACTTGAACCTGGGAGGTGGAGATTGCAGTTAGCCAAGATTGTGCCACTTTGCTCCAGCCTGGGCAACAGAGCCAGCCTCTGTCTCAAAAATAAATAAAATAAAATAAAATAAAAATATTAATCACAGAAGGGTACGTTGGCTTGGCTGTATTCCCAGCACTTTGGGAGGCCAATGGGGGAGGATCACAGGAGCCCAGGAGTTTGAGGCTGCAGTGAGCCATGATTGTGCCGCTATCTGGTCTGTTCAACACAGCAAGATCCTGACTCTAGAAAACTAAATAAGTAAATAATAATAATAAAATTCTAATCACATCTGAACAGTTCTTTTTCCCAAAAGTTCACATTCACAGGGTCCAGGGGCTTAGAACATACATATTTTTTGCAATGGTTAATGGCTTTATATCCTGCAGACCCAGTTTATTCTGTGGATTTCTCTTTTTATCTTCACCTCCCTGCTTATTCTCTTTTTTTCTTTTCTTTTCTTCTTCTTCTTTTTTTTTTTTTTTTTGAGACAGGGTCTCACTCTCTCACCCAGACTGGAATGCAGTGGTCCAATCTTGGTTCACTGCAACCTCCACCTCCCAGGCTCAAGCAATTCTCCTGCCTCAGCCTCCTGAGAAGCTTAGACTACAGGTGCCCACCACCAGACCTGGCTAATTTTTTTATTTTTATTAGAGACAGAGTTTTACCATGTTGACCAAGCTGGTCTCTAACTCCAGACCGCAAGTGATCCACCTGCCTCAGCCTCCCAAAGTTATGGAATTACAGGCATGAGCCATAGCACCTGGCCCCTCCCTGCTTATTCTTTTGCCCTCTATTTGGGGACCAGTGTTACTTAGTCACTTCTTTATTATGTTTGTGTGTATTTTGCACTTTACCACTGATACCATGTTTGCTGATCCATCTGTGCTTTTCACAGCGTGCATACAGATTACAGTTTGTAGCTTGGAAACAAACCAGAGACACCTCTATTACACAGTTGTCTCCTTCATCCCCCTCCCCCTCTGATGCTTCTCCAGTAACTCAGGCATTTTGGATTTCTTTCAGACTGGAAGACTACCCTTGAGGAGAATAGGTTGAATTCTGAAAAAGATCAGGCTAGGGAAGAACTGTCCCACCACGTGGAAGTGAAACAATGTGTACAGGAGGAGCCACCCTGTTTGGTGTCATTAGGAAAAGTGCACAATCAGAGCAACCAGTTAAGGGAACACCAGGACAACTCCTTGAGGTTCATGGTACTCACCTCAGAGAGACTGTTTCCTCAAAGAGAACACTGTGAGCCTGAACTTGGGGGAAGTTATTCTGTACCTTCTACTTTAAGCCTTCTACCTATGACATTACCTGCACGTACAGGTTTCACTAAGCCTAACTCACAGGTTAAAGAGTTTAAACAAAATTCAACTTTCATTAATCATGAGAAAAATGGAGCAGGTGGGAAGCACTGTGAGAATCATCAGCATGCTAGAGCCTTGTGTCAGAGCATTTACTTGAGTAAACTTGGAAACATTGAAACAGGAAAGAAAAACCCTTATGAACATATTGTTGGTCGTGACTCTCTCAACTATGGTTCCTCCCTTTGTTTTCATGGTAAAACTTTTTCAGTGAAGAAAAGTGATGACTGTAAGGATTATGGAAATCTCTTCAGTCACAGTGTGTCTCTGAATGAACAGAAGCCAGCGCATTTTGGAAAAAGTCAGTATGAGTGTGATGAATGCAGAGAAGCCTGTTCTGAGAATCTGTGCCTTGTACAAACAGAAAGAAGTGACCCTGGAGGGACCCCCTTCAGAGGTGAGGATGGCTGTGCTGCCTTCCCTGTGGCCTCATCTTTTTCTGACTGTAACATCATTCAGACTGCAGAGAAGTCATTTGTGTGTAATCAGTGTGGAAACTCTTTCAGCTGTTGTTGTAAGCACATATACCAGAGAACACAAACTGGAGAAAAGCCCTTCGAATGTACTCATTGTGGGAAATCTTTTAGTCAGAGCTATGACCTTGTCATACATCAGAGGACACACACTGGAGAGAAGCCCTATGAGTGCGACCTATGTGGGAAATCCTTCACCCAGAGATCCAAACTTATTATGCATCAGCGAATTCACACTGGAGAAAAACCGTATCAGTGTGTTGAATGTGGAAAATCCTTCAGGTGGAACTCTAACCTCATTGTACATCAGAGAATTCATACTGGAGAGAAACCGTACGAGTGCACTCACTGTGGAAAGTCCTTCAGCCAAAGCTATGAGTTAGTTACACATACAAGAACCCACACTGGAGAAAAGCCCTTCAAATGTACTCAGTGTGGGAAATCTTTCAGCCAGAAGTATGATCTTGTTGTACATCAGAGGACACACACTGGAGAGAAACCCTATGAGTGCAACCTGTGTGGGAAATCCTTCTCCCAGAGTTCTAAACTTATTACGCATCAGCGAATTCACACTGGAGAAAAACCGTATCTGTGTATCGAATGTGGGAAATCCTTCAGGTGGAACTCTAACCTCGTCATCCATCAGAGAATTCATACTGGGGAGAAACCGTACAAGTGCACTCATTGTGGAAAGTCCTTCAGCCAAAGCTATCAATTAGTTGCACATAAAAGAACTCACACTGGAGAAAAGCCCTATGAATGTAACCAGTGTGGAAAAGCCTTCAATCGAAGCACTCAGCTCATCAGGCATCTGCAAATTCACACTGGGGAGAAGCCGTACAAATGCAATCAGTGCGATAAAGCCTTTGCGAGGAGCTCCTACCTTTTGATGCATCAGAGAACTCACACTGGTGAGAAACCTTTTGAGTGCAGTCAGTGTGGGAAGGCCTTTACAGGGAGCTCTAACCTTCTTTCCCATCAGAGAATTCATTCTGGAGAGAAACCCTATGAATGTAGTGACTGTGGGAAATCCTTCCGGCAGCGATCTCAGCTTGTAGTGCATCGGCGGACACATACTGGAGAGAAACCTTAGGAGTGCAGTCATTGTGGGAAAACTTTCAGCCAGAGGTCTCCCGTCATCATGCACCAGAGGACACCTGTCAGTGGGAAGAGCTATCAGTGTGATGTGTATTAAGGCCTTCAGCCAGCAGTAGTGACTCATTAAACATCAGAGAATGCATCCTGGAGGAAAGCCCTATGAATGCATTGATTGTGGGAAAGCCTTCAATGATCGCTCAACCCTTAGTAAACATGAGAGGACGCACACTGGAGAGAAACCCTATGAATGTGACCACTGCGAGCAAGCCTTTAGCCAGCGGTGTCAACTTACCAGGCATTGGAGAGTTCATACTGGAGAGAAGCCCTATGAATGTTAATGTGGAAAAGTTTCCAGTTAGGATACTTCCCTTATTCAACATGAGAAAGCTCATGGGCAAGAAACTCTCTGAATAACCAAGATGGAGCCAGATGCAGTTGCCAACACCTGTAATCCCAGCACTTTGGGAGGCCAAGGCAGGTGGATTGCTTGAGCCCAGGAGTTTGAGACCAGCCTGGGTAACATGACAAAATCCTGTCTTTACAAAAAATACAAAAATTAGTCTAGCATGGTGGTGCATACCTGTAGTCCTAGCTACTCAGGAGACTGAGGTGGGAGGATCACTTGAGCTTGGGAGGCGGAGGTTGCATTGAGCTGTGATCATGCCATCACACTGCTGCCTTATGAGAGAGTGAGATACTCTCTAAATAAATAATAACCAAGATAGGAAATTTCCCTGCCATACCCTCTTTACTAGAAATCAAGTGGCTAAAACATGACTCTCAGAGTGGGGCTTCATGACCATGTGCATCAGAATTGCCTGGAGTGTGCACTAAAATTGTATTATGATGCTCACTCTAGCCAACTGAATAAAAATCTCTGGTAGTAGAATCCAGGAGTCTGCAGTTTCTAAAATCACACAGGTGGGTGGGCACAGTGGCTCATGACTGTAATCCCAGTGCTTTGGGAGGCTGAGGTGGGTGAATCACCTAAAGTCAGGAGTTTGAGACCAGTCTGGCAAACATGGCAAAACTGTCTCTATTAAAAATACAGGCCAGGGGCCAGGTGCGGTGGCTCATGCCTGTAATCCCAGCACTTAGATAGGCAAGGTGGGTGGATCACGAGGTCAGGAGATTCAGACCATCCTGGCTAATATGGTGAAACCCTGTCTCTACTAAAAATACAAAAAAAAATTAGCTGGGCATGGTGGTGGGCACCTGTAGTCCCAGGTACTTGGGAGGCTGAGGCAGGAGAATGGCGTGAACCCAGGAGGCGGAGCTTGCAGTGAGCCAAGATCACACTAGTGCACTCCAGCCTGGGCGACATAGCGAAACTCTGTCTTAAAACAAAAAAATACAGGCCAGGCGCAATGACTCATGCCTGTAATCACAGAATTTTGGGAGGCAACGGCAGGTGGATCACCTGATGTCAGGAGTTCGAGACTAGCCTCACCAACATGGAGAAACCCCGTCTCCACTAAATATGCAAAAATTAGCAGGGTATGGTGGTGGACACCTGTAATCCCAGCTACTCGGGAGGCTGAGGCAGGAGAATCTTAACCCAGGAGGCAGAGGTTGCCATCAACCAAGATTGAGCCATTGTGCTCCAGCCTGGGCAACAAGAGCGAAACTTCCTCTCAAGAAAAAAAAAAAAAAGGACTCTGGTGAGGCATGGTGGTTCATGCCTGTAATCCCAGCAGTTTGGGAGGCTGAGGTAGGCAGATAACTTGAGGACAGGCATTCAAGACTAGCCTAGCCAACATGGCAAAACCCCATCTCTACTAAAAATACAAAAATTAGCCGGGTGTGGTGGCACACGTGTGTAATCCCAGCTATTCGGGAGGCTGAGGCATGAGAATCGCTTGAACCTGGGAGGCAGAGGTTGCAGTTAGCTGAGATCATGCCACTGCACTCTTGCTTGGGCAACAGGGCGAGACTGTCTCAAAAAAAAAAAAAAAAAAAAAAAAGGACTCTGAGCTGGCCGAAATGGCTCATGCCTATAATCCCAGCACTTTGGGAGACCAAGCCAGGCAGATCACTTGAGCCCAGTGGATTGGGACCAATCTGGGCAGCATGTTGAGACCCCATCTCTACAAAAGAAATACAATTAGCTGGGCGTGGTGCTGCACACCTGTAGTCCCAGCACTCTGGAGGCTGAGGCAGGAGTATTACTTGAGCCTGAGGATGGTGGGGGGTCGCACCTGCAGTGAGCTGAGATCACACCACTGCATTCCAGCCTAGGCACCAGAGCAACACCATATCTCTAAAACAAAACAACAAAATATTGGACTCTGAATATTTCAGGGATTTGGTTATGTTTCAACTTTGTTGCTCAGTTGGTTGGATTGTAATCAGAACTGGCAGCATATTAATATGGAAAATACTTATCAGGTGGTGTGAAAACAGGAGCCCAAATAGTATGTTCACAGAAGGTTACAAGCACATAATTTAAATTGGTCACTCAGCAACATGTTCCCTAAAAGAAAAAAGCATAAATTGACAGTTGTGGGGAAAGTGGAAGAGGCCATGTCTGCATTCATTCATTCATTTTTTTGAGACGGAATCTCACTGTGTCCCCCAGGCTGGAGTGCAGTGGCACAATCTCTGCTCACTATAAGCTCTGCCTCTTGGGTTCACGCCATTCTCCTGTATCCCGGCCCGCGGGATAGTCGAAGCAGGCCCTGGAGGAGGGGGTGGGAATTTGGGGAACAAGAGATACGAGAAATGGAGACAAGACAGTGCTCTGATCAAGTCTCGTTTAATGGCGGTAATGCAGTGCCTTATATACACTTGGAGGGGAAGGGGTTGGGCCAAGGCGAAAATGATCTCATAGTGGAGGCGTGGCCAGATAGGTATTGGTTTCTCTGGTCGAACGTCATGTTGCACCTGCGCTGTCAGGTAGTAATTTTCGCGGGCGCGGGAAAAATGGGTGAAGAAGAAGCAGGAAGAGCGCCATCTTTTATGAGGTATTAATACAGGGAAAAAAGTAAATCTAGGCAGGAGGTAGAAGGTGGAAATGAATAGAGCTCAGGCGTTTTTAATCGTCAGTTATTATTCGCTATGGCCGGAGCGTGCAGCTCCGGACACTCCTGCCTCAGCCTCCTGAGTAGCTGGGACTACAGGCGCCCGCCACCACGCCCGGCTAATTTTTTGTATTTTTAGTAGAGACGGAGTTTCCCCATGTTAGCCAGGATGGTCTCGATCTCCTGACCTTGTGATCCACCCGCGTCGGCCTCCCAAAGTGCTAGGATTACAGGTGTGAGACACCATGCCTGGCCACATTTATATTTATTTTTTGACACAGGCTGTTGCTCTGTCGCCCAGGCTGGAGTGCAGTGGCGCAGTCAGGGATCACTGCAGCCTCAACCTGGCTCAAATGTTCCTCCTGTCCTAGCCTAAGTAGCTGGGACCACAGGCATGTGCCATGAAGCCTGGCTAAATTTATTTTTTTTAGAGACAAGGTCTCACCATGTTGCCCAGGCTGGTCTTGAACTCCTGGGCTCAAGTGATCCCCAGCCTCGGCCTCCCAAAGTCCTGGGATTACAGGCATGAGCCACGGTGCATGCTATTACTGCACATTTAAGCAGGATAAGAGCCAATGGGAGGGCGGGCACGGTGGCTCATGCCTGTAATCCCAGCACTTTGGGAGGCCGAGGCAGGCGGATCCCTTGAGGTTAGGAGTTTGAGACCAGCCTGGCCAACATGGTGAAACCCCATCTCTACTAAAAATACAAAAAATTAGCCAGCTGTCATGACATGTGCCTGTAATCCCAGCTACTCGGGAGGCTGAGGCAGGAAAATCACTTGAACCCAGGAGGTGGAGTTTGCTGTGAGCCAAGACTGCGCCATTGAACTCCAGCCTGGGCAAAAAAGCGAAAAGCAAGACTCCGTCTCAAAAACAAAACAACAAAAGAAAGTGCAGGGTGCGGTGGCTCACGCCTGTAATCCCAACACTTTGGGAGGCTGAGGCGGGTGGATCACGAGGTCAGATCAAGACCATCCTGGCTAACACGGTGAAACCTCGTCTCTACTAAAAATACAAAAAATTAGTGGTGGGCGCCCGTAGTCCCAGATACTCAGGAGGCTGAGGCAGGAGAATGGTGTGAACCCAGGAGGCAGAGCTTGCAGTGAGCCAAAATCACTCCACGGCACTCCAGCCTGGGCGACAGAGCGAGACTCTGTCTCAAAAAACAAAAAAAAGCAGATGGAAGTATAGCCAATAGCCAAACATACAGAATGAGGAAAGCTGGACAGGGTCAGGTGAGGAGAAGCTGTGGCAGCAGATGTGGCAGCCCCCAGCAGAGCCATAGATTAATAGACCAGAAAGTGGGTTAATGAAAGGTCTGTCCATGAAACTCAGACTCTTTCCCCATTTCTTTTTTTTCCCGCCTGGCATTAACTATCTGGCTGTGGGTTAGCAAAAAGTTAAGTAGGGAAGGAGTCACATGCTAAAAGATTAGTTCAGGGGACAACTGAATCTGACGTGTTTTTTTTGTTTTTTTTTTCAGACGGAGTCTCGCTCGGTCGCCCAGGCTGGAGTGCAGTGGCCGGATCTCAGCTCACTGCAAGCTCTGCCTCCCGGGTTTACGCCATTCTCCTGCCTCAGCCTCCCGAGTAACTGGGACTACAGGCGCCCGCCACCTCGCCCGGCTAGTTTTCTGTATTTTTTAGTAGAGACGGGGTTTCACCGTGTTCGCCAGGATGGTCTCGATCTCCTGACCTCGTGATCCGCCCGTCTCGGCCTCCCAAAGTGCTGGGATTACAGGCGTGAGCCACTGCGCCCGGCCAGTCTGATGTATTTTGCTCTGTAGCAAGGGCTGCTTTATTCTGGCATTTCAGAACTTTTTACCTGATAGCTGGTTCTTGCCCTCTTCACCCTCAAGCAAAGCGTACTCTTAAAGCAGCCCCGCCTGTCTGTGGAGCTTCCTGTCTGCTTTCTCATAGCCTCTTCAATATAGGTGGCAGGCAAGGAGCAAAAGATAAAGTCTCCATCATGAAAGAAGGTATCTAAGACAAAGCAGAAAAGATAGATATTCAGAGGAACCAAATATTCTTTGTTTTTTGAGACAGAGTCTTGCTCTGTTGCCCAGGCTGTAGTGCAGTGGAACGATCTCGGCTCACTGCAACCTCCACTTCCCAGGTTCAAGCAATTCTCCTGCCTCAACCTCCCAAGTAGCTGGGATTACAGGCGCCCACCACCACGCCCAGCTATTTTTTGTATTTTCAGTAGAGACAGAGTTTCACCATGTTGACCAGGCTGGTCTCAAACTCCTGACCTCAAGTAATCCGCCCACCTCGGCCTCCCGAAGTGGTGGGATTACAGGCGTGAGCCACTGCGCCAGGCAGAATCAAATATTTAAAGAATCTTGTTAATCTAAAAGTGAGTCAAGAAAGGGTTACAAGGCTGGGTACAGTGGCTCATGCCTGGAATGCCAGCACTTTGGGAGGCCGAGGTGGGTGAATCGTGAGGTCAGGAGTTCGAGACCAGCCTGATCAACATGGTGAAACCCCATCTCTACTTAAAATACAAAAATTAGCTGGGCGTGGTGGTGGGCGCCTGTAATCCCAGCTACTTGGGAGGCTGAGGCAGGAGAATCACTTGAACCCGGGAGGTGGAGGTTGCAGTGAGCCAAGATCGGCTGGGTGCAGTGGCTCACGCCTGTAATCCTAGCACTTTGGGAGGCCGAGGCGGGCAGATCACGAGGTCAGGAGATCGAGACCATCCTGGCTAACACAGGGAAACCCTGTCTCTCCTAAAAATACAAAAAATTAGCTGGGTGTGGTAGCGTGCGCCTGTAGTCCCTGCTACTCGGGAGGCTGAGGCAGGAGAATGGCGTGAACCTGAGAGGCAGAGCTTGCAGTGAGCTGAGATCACACCACTGCACTCCAGCC